CCTCTAGAGGATTGGTAACCACATTTTAAACACGAATCTTCAATCGCTACTGTGTCTGGTTATGGTTTTAAAAATGATAACAAAATGGATTCTGATACACAATTTTGTATCTCAGTACAAGCGCTGTATGAAACGGGTGCTTTGCAGATCAAAACCAGCTTCTAATTTCTAGTGAAGTTATTAAGAGAGCAAGAAAAGGCAAAGAGAAGTTAGGAGTGCCGGGGCTGAGTGTTTGTGTTCCCAGCGCAGCCCTGTTTCCGACATTCCTGATGGAAGCTGCGAGCTGTCACACTGTCCAACTGCTCGACTGATGAAATCAGCTTGGTGTGGGAGCACGCTCAGACCTTTCTGTCTCCTGATAACTCACTTCGTACGTATTTGGATAGTACGACAGCCACATTATGTTCAATTTTTTTTTTTTATAGCTGTCACTGCTATATCCATAAACATTACTGCCTATTATTATGCCTATTATTATTTTCATATTTTTAAGGAGTTGGCACACTTAAATATTTTCAGTAGCAAAATTCTTTGTAGCCAAATGCTGCAGATTTTATGATATAAAATCACTTCTCATAAATAGACTGAATAGCCTTATCTCATAGAAGATGCCTTAAATATTGTGGTCTTTTTCCTGCAGATATCATTTTACCAAAACAGAAATTTTCCTATAAGTCTTTGTAGGATTCCAAAAAGAAAAGAAGATTAAGGTAAATATGTATGAAAACTCATAAGTTCAGCTTTTAATTACCCACTCACCAACAGAACAACCTTTATATAGCACAGCTTTCATTCTTACACACCGGAGTAGTCAAAATTTTTCAGTGGTTCATACAGGTAATTGAGAAGTTAATTTTTAAACTAAAAATTTAAAGAAGGGGATAACTTCATAACACTCTAAAATAAACTCTTCAATGTGCTGCAGGGAGATTTTCTAAAACAGATCTTCATGCTTCTTTACAGTTAATGAACAGTCACTAGAAGGAAAGTCAGAAAATGTGGAAAAACTGAAGACATAATACATTTCACTTGCCAAGACTCCCACACTTTTGGCTCGAAACATGTAAGTGTGCTCACAGCTTAAACTCATTGTTCATAATTTGGCCTCTAATTGTTAAAGCTGTAAGGCAACTGCAAAATAACAAAAAGTACAATGAGATATATCTCTCTAACACATTACAGAAATAAATTGACTGCTTATGGAGACAAGGTAAAAGTTCTATTTTTAAAGCTAACCTATAAAATTAGAGTAACTTGACCCAAAGCAAATATAAGTACAGAGTTTCATTTAACAAAGTTCAATTTATTTTTACAGCACTCCCTGAAGGGAAAACATAATTTCATGCCTATTTGGCTCCTCTTTTGCTTCCCTCATTTTTTTTTTTTCCAACTAGTCATTTTTACTCAAGATTTTTTTTTTTCCCCTATATAAAAGGTTGCAACTCCTGGGCAAATAACCAAGCAACACAGGGTCAAGATAGAGCAAAGCACAGCTCATCCATTCCTTCAAACCATTTCATATAAAGATAAACCTTTTTGTTTAAAAATGTAACAGCACTAGTAACAGGTAGTGTACTTGAGCATAGTAAGAGGAGAAAAAAAAAAAAAAGTTAGATGGGAAGAGAACCAGGGCCACTGCTTTATTTGCTATATGTCATATGTCATTTTTTCCTGAAAATTCCTTTCAGATTGTTGGACTAAGAAATCTTATTTCCAAGTGAGAAAAAAAATCTCAAACACCAAATCTGCCTATAATTCACAGTAATATCCATATATGGTGGAGAAATACAAACTATCACTTTATAAAGTATAGCATAAATTTCACTATAAAAAGTAATGCAGCATTTCAGGTATGCATGCAAAAGCAGGAGTGAAATGCACAGAAGTCCTTTTAAATAATTTCTTTTTATAAAATATGGAGCAAGAAGAAAGCCTGGGAAAGACACCTCATCAGAATGTGGCTCCTAGTACAGCAGACCGAGACCTGAAACTCCTACAGAAACATTTTAAAAGCAATGGTCACGAGAAAACCTGAGAGAGTTTCATCTCTTAGGCTGCTTTGTGGTTTGGGGAGCTCCCAGAGCTTACAAGTAAATTTTCACCTAACAAAGTGCTCCTGTATTTCGTGTGATTGGATGTAAGAACAGTCAAAGCAGATGTTAATTGCATGACTGACAGTGGTACTCCCTATCCATCTGTGTGTGACCTCCCAGAGGGAGGAAGAAAGAGAAATCAGGAATTAACCTCAGGCTCAGAATTCAAATATTAATTCTAATTCTGAAGAATTAAAATTATAATTAAAAATTCAGACAAACACACACCATATACTAAAGGGAAAATTACTTACGCCTCTTATGCCTGGCTCCACTTCCCTTAAAAGTATTTTCCAAGATGACTATTTCAGATATCACATTCCTTAAACTAGGCAGTAAAACACTAATATTTCAATCTTTTTTCCTATCCTAACTATTAGTTAACAAGTACCAGCAACCAATTATTGGTCAACAGTATGAAAAGGAACAATTCTTACTATAAGAATCCTTATATTAGTTACGCAGAAATCAAAAACCTATGCATTAAATCCATTTTACACTTAAATCATAAAAACCACTGAAATTAATTTAACCTACATGAAAAATGTGTTATGATCATAGATCATGAAATATTATACCAATTAACTAGGAAAGCCTCCACAAGATAAAAATCTAGATTCAATCTAGATAGTTAAGAGTGTTTTTTTTTTTTTTTTTTTTTTTTTTTAAATCGCCATCTATATTAGTGTGCTAAGTTATTTGTGAAAAGATTAAGCCAGCCAGCAAAATTCTTGCTTCTTAAAGCTTCAGCAGTGGGTATCAGGAATGTGATGACACAGTAAGTATGGTACCAACACCTACAAAATAAGCTTAACTACAAAGTTCAATTACTGTGCATTGCAGCTGGTGCACAATCACGCTGTCATCCGGAGATCACCAAATCACTCACCAGATCTGAGAAAAACCTCTGGGAGTAGCCTAAGGAGCTACTCATATTTTATGTCTTAGTCAAAAGTGCACCTGGATATTTTTATTGTATTATATAACACTAGCACACACACTAAAAAATGAAAAATAAAAAAATAAAAAAGAATAAAAATAAAGGAGGTGAACTTCAGTGCTATGAAGCTAGCATATCACAGGCACGGAAAAGTCAATGATTCTAGAAACTTCCACTTGCATAATTCTACAGATGCTAATGCGATGCAGCGGAGTTGAACCATACAAGTGGTCCCGCTGCGCCAGCCCAAGCAAAGTCTACGTAACCACCTAGCAGAGAAGCCTAAATCTGCATATAAAATACGTATAAGCAATCACCATACCCTACACGGAAAAGTATTATTTCTTGTTTTCTTATCAATAATCAAAAGCCTCGGTCGTACTTTCCTATGTTGGGAATAGCCAATAAATAAATATAAAGCAAGGCAACAATTCAATACCTTTCCTGCAGTAGCTCTAAAATTATGTAGAAATATGTACCAATGCGACCCACATTTTCCCATTTAAAACATAAAGGTCTTTATTGTTTTCTGCTACACCAGTGCCACTAGGAAAACTGGATTTCTTTGAGTTTCTTGCCCTGAAAAATAGAGCTACTGTTCATTTGGCCGTTCCAAACATATGCATACTCAAAGAGTGAGATAAGGGGAAAGAAAGAACAAATCACCACATTCATTTGCTACTCTCTCCCTCTTCAGCTATTAACATGAAGATTTCCTACAAATGCTCCTGGTTTATTACAATATTTTAACTCAGTATGTTCATATGTTCAACAAGTATTTGAAAGTCCATGGCATTCATTTAATGTTTGTCTAAAAGCACCTGTAAGGCTAATGACCATAAACACATAGAAATTAGAGAAATCATCTTTGATACTAAAATAACACCGAACTAATGCTAAAAATGCTTGATGTCTATTATATATTAAAAGATTAAATACAGCTGTTAGTATGAAAAAAGTGTCTATATGAAAGAAGACAGACTTAATACAAGTAGTTTGAAGTCTCTTTTCAACACAAGAAAACACTGTATTCACATAGACTGCTTGTTAATCTTTTTTTTTTTTTTAAACTCACAGGCAGAATTTCTTAGTTATTTCTGTGTTGGGATATATACTGGAAATGTTCATATTAAACCTTTCACACGCAAATACGTAATTCTCACGGTTTTATGTGGCAGTAGTAGAAAGACACAGCAGGCATGTTGAAAGCTAAGAAACTTAAACTGACGAGTCCTGAATATATCCTTACCTTTCCATACGGGTGTAAGCAAGAGTTATTCTCGTTCTTAGCAATATAACACTCTCCATTCCCTCTCCTCCCCACTGTAAAGCATAAAAGACTATAGAAACATTGCATTGATGGTACATTAAATAAATACATGGCTCGTAACACTTCTTTAGTGCAGTGTGATCCTCCACCAGGGATCAAGCCGTATTAGGAAGTATATACACTTTTCACTGGTTAGGACAGTGAGTATCACAACAGGGAATAGCATCACAAAGCTTTGCTACCTAGTGTAAAAACCGAGACAGCAGTTCCTGCAACTCTTATCATCTAAACAGAAAAATGTATTTTCTAGAAGGGTATTAGGATATCATAAATAATCCCATAATCATCATGGAGATCCTGGACCATCAAGTTCATTCTTCCACTATTACTGACACATTTTCATGCAACTATAGATTACATAAAAATGTGCATCATTATCCGTAAGTACAATTCGATAGAGATGTAATTTATATGTATTCCCCTACACTACTTTTAAACCAAAATGAATTTTTAAGAATTCAACATGTGTATTTCTAAAAAGCAGTGTTAAACACAAAACTGAGGTTCAATAAGATTAGGTGAAATATCCTATTAGGTGGTACTAAATGTTTGCCCGTCAAAAGCATTTTGTTCAATAGAAAGTCATCAGGTTAGCAAAAGTCTTACAAAAACAAACAAAAAACAATGAAAAGCTTACCTCATACCATAAAGACTTACGAAGAAAGTAATTCAATTCCCATTTTAAGGACTGAATTCTAGTTAGCTGCTCTCTTGTAATCCTACAATTCTTCAAGCCACTGCTGTTTCTCCTTTCAACATAATTCCAAGACACAGTTCCTATGTGCCCTGAAGGCAAAGTCCTAACAATTGCTCTTGTTCCAGTATAAACTGATTTTTTAACCTCCTTATCATTTTTACAAAAACGTCTTATTAATAAAGTGGAACGCTCCTTTTTGTTCCTATAAAACTCGTCCTCCATCTCTTCTTCACAGTTATCACTGCAGTCTTCAAAATGGCTCAGAAAGGGTTTTGAAGGCATTCTTCCAGTAAAGTTATTTCCACAGAAGCTGTGACCTGAGCATGCCACTTTAACCTTTCTTGCTGCTCTTTCCAGGCATAAATACTTCTCCCTTAAAGTGTCACAACCACCATACAACTGTTGTCCATTTCCATTCTCACAACTATTTGTCAGTTCCATTAATCTGCAAGAGCAGGCAGTAGAGCCAGTACTGTGATCATCGTCACTGCTTACAGGTTGCAAGCAGTTATCCAAAATGAAGCTGTTGTGCAAACTGCACAAAGCCTTTGATATATTTCTTTCACTAGCACAGTGAAAGTGAAAAAAGGCTACCTTCTCAGTCTCCTTATTTTCATTCTTACTAACTGCTGACCGGCTTCGTAATGAAGGTCCATCCATTTTCAGCTGAAGCTCAGCAAGCATGGCTCTTTCCAGTGAAACAGGAATTCCAGTTTCCAGGCATGTGTCTCCCCTTACTAAGGAATCACATGATTTATATAGCTGGCTACATGGAATACTGCTCTTACAGTTTTTCTGTACAATATTACAGTTAACATTAAGAAATTCCAATGAATCAGGGATGGAGCTGTTTCTCTCCCAGAATTTTTCATTGCTATTGTCATCAGTCATTTCTTCATTTGCCAGAGAGAGTATTTCAGGCAGAGAGCCCTGACGACTTTCTTCTTCAAGCCTGTGTAAGTATGAGAGCGTGTGTGTGGTTTGCCTTCCCAGACTGCCAGTAGGTCTTTTTATAACACTGGTGTTCAAAGCATTTTCACTATTTTCATCTCCAGCTGACTGAGCAGGTATCACTTTACCCTGTACCACAGACACAAGAACAGAAGCTGTCATTTCCTCAGAGGTCATCTTGACACAAAGTCTTTAGCTGTTGGATGTTTGTTAGGGGAAAATTCTACCAGTCATCACACCATGATTGCAGTGTAATTAAAGTTTCGATGCTAAATAATCAGGAAAAACATAGTCAAACATATGTTTGTTACTTTTCTTTTGTAACTGTAGGGAGAGGGACGGAAGAGCAGTTTGTTTAACTACTGGGCTACTAATCTTTCCCAGCTGTGGATAACTGGAAAGAAAGATAAACATTCTTATATCAGCTTCTTAATGCAATATAGCCATTTGACTCTTGCCACAATTAATTCTTCTATCAGAAGTAACACACATATTGTTGCCTCAGGTTGTAGAAAAAAGTGAATATACAGTCCATGTCAAAGATTTATCTTTCCAGAGGACATCCAAAAATGGTGTTTTTCTGTGAAGAAAAAGAAAACATATTTATATATATATATTTAACAGAATCCATGGCACAGTGTCCACAATCACAAGTACAATACAAAGATAGAGCTTTTATATAAAGAGAAGGAACACAGAACATCAGAAAGCAATCACACTTACATATACAGAACTTCAAAATACAAGTTTAAATGTATTTACAAGTCTCACTTTACAATTTTGGGAAGTTACAATCGGCTATGTATTTACCTACCAGTACAACAGCTGATTTAGTGTTTTGAGATTTGTTTTCCCCCCACCTTCCCCTCCATTTATGCTGTATTTGGTACTTTGATATAATAAAGAAAACACTTTTTTTTTGCCAAAAGTTTACCACTGAAAAAAGAAAGCATGAGGGTGTATCAAGATAAGAGACTAAAATATCAATAATCTTCCTGAACCCCTTACTTTTATGCATTTAAACAAAAAGTTAACTTGCCTTTCAACCTGTCATTAATTCTCATTTTCTTTCCTATATATAGCCCAATAAAAGTAACTCCTAGAATCAGAATATACAGAACTAATATTAGTTCACTGGAAGGAACAGAGCAAGAGACATGTCCAGGTAAATCATGCTGAACAAAAATAAAGACGTGCTTATATTACAGTTCAAAGTATTTAAGCTCAAGCATCAAAACCAGAAAAGAACATCAACAACAATCTACCATCTCCCATCCCTTTCCTGCCACTTCTTTCCCTTCCAATACCTAGATAACAGTTATGTAACATTTTCCACAGCGCACTTGAGGTAAGTCATCTAGAAATGATCCGATCTTATTTCTTTTGATAATCGTTCTTGTGTCTTTAAGTCCAAATCTACATATGATGCGGCTTATCATAGCAGAAAGAGCTGGGAGAGCTAGAAGGAGAAGCAGCTGGGTTTTTTTTTTTTTTTTTTTTTTTTTTGCTTTTACTTTTAAGCTTTTTGTTGCTAAGCCAAATAAAACTAATACTTGTAAAAAGTACAAAGCAGATATATGGATTAGATGTATTAGTAATGCTCAATACTAACTCTTTGAGGATTTCTTTCATCTACCAAAACATGAGTCAACTGATTCCTCGTCTATTTGCACCAGAAATGCCAGATAATCTAAGAAAATACAAGCTACTGTAATATATTTATAAATGTACTCTCTATAATACTGCTAAATCGGGGTATAAAACTAACAGAATGGACTGTCACTGAAAAGAATATACATTCTGTTACTCCACTTGGTGAAGGAAGCATCATTATGCATGGCAGAAAAAGCCAGGAATTTCATAATGCAATTTTAATACTACACAAAGACACACACACTCACACAACCTTACCATACACAATAAGTTTCTCTGCATCAGTCTATATGTACGAACTCGGGGGAAGGAAGGGGGAGGAGAATATCCTATCACTGATGCACTTCTGTGAACTGAAAGCTGCTCTAATTACAAGTCCAGATCTTTCCCAGATTCTGTCAACAAAGCTCATTCAGGGACCACAATTGCTCCTCACATCCCTCCCAGCAGTTTCTTTCAGTATCATTGTCCCATCTTTCTCTTATGCCAAAAAGTCTAGAAGTTGTCCAAACTGCCTCTCTCAGGATTTGCCTTTTATTTTTTCTAAAACTTTATCTTAATCTTACCCATCCGAGGTCATGTTTCCCGTCAGCTCCACAGGGTATTTGCAAGCCTTGTTTCTCTATCAGCGTCACTTTCTCTTTTTATCTGTGCCTAGGTTTGAAATATATATCTTCAAGATATATATTCAAGAATAAAGTCTGCTTAAGAAGCTCTCTACCCATGTCCAGCTGTTCCCATCCACTCATGACCACTGCAATGTGACAGGGAACCAATCCACCTCAAAAAAATTTTTGCTCAAGTTACTTCATAGCAAGATCACCCTTCCCACTCTAATCATCATGATTATACTGTAGGTGTCCTACAGCACCACACAAGAAGAAATAAGCAAAGGGAAGGGATGGAAAGGCTGCCTAAGTTGATCCAGACACCACTGCAATTTTTAAATGCACTTTGATGTTGCAGCTATGCCAATCTCACAGCTAGCTGCCATCACAACTGGCAGCTTCACTCCTCACTTTTGACCTTGAGACACCACTTCCCACACTTGCGGGTCTAGATCATGAAGCCTTAGGGTTAAGCTGATTCATCTAGCTGACTGGTCAGGAAACTCTTCTCCTCCTAGGGAAAAAGAGGGCCACACTTCTCAGTACTCAGAATTGACAGAACAGTTCTCAGAACTGACTTTTCACGCTTGCTATGACATCTAAACATATCCTGAGCATAAAAAAGCATAACTGAGGAGAAAAGCTATCTAGTGTAGCAGTACACTAAAACTTCATGAAAAAAAGCATAAAAATCGCATTATGGCAAATGCATTGATAAGGGTCAACACAAGCCTCTGATCTATAAACAACTGCAAAATACTTGAAGCAGCAGCTCAGCTGAACCCACAAGAGTTTCATGTGTTCCTCATTACACTGTTTTCAACCTCTGCTTTCTACTCTAATCAACAGATTTCAATTCCCTGTACCCAGCAAATTCCTTAAACTGTTGGAATTCATGAAACATGTTATGAAGTACTGTGTTAACACAGTGCCCTAAACGCCGTTGAGCGTAAAACTCAACCAATAAAACAGCATTTTGTCACTTACTGTAAAATGGCAGTCCTCTGCTTCCTATGGCTTCCCTGACCTGTATAGCTGCACATGCAATGCCAAAGCCTAGATCTTATCATTAAAAACCTCTTGAAGACAGACACTAACATTCGTATATAAAAACAATGCTTAAGTTACTCAAAATCATATTCTGCCTGTTGCATATTCTCCCAAAACACTGTGATTCACAGTTAAATCTGAATATAAAAGCACATGAAGCAGACTATTAAGCCTACATTGTACTCAACACATGCTAACATTTTCTAAAGCTGCTAGATTAGCTGATGAAATCCATTAATAACTACACTGGTTCACTTTACAAGGCTTGAGTTATGTCAGAAATGCACTGTGCTGCCTCTCGCAATAAAGGAAAGTAAAAATATAAGAAATTAGATCCAACATTAGTGAATCATCCTGGATGCAGAGGTCAGCCAAAAAAAGACAACTGAATAATGAAAATAAACAGCTTGGCAACTTTCCAGCACACACACGTGCAAAATGTGTCACATGCTGCTGACTTGAGAAACTCATTTGTCTATGTTTTTTTCCCCTGTGTTGCATACACCTTAAAGAAAGATCTATTCATTATTATTTTTAAATAATTATTTCATGTTATGAGTATTAACAAATACAACTGTATGAGAGTAAAGTCTAAAACTGCCTATGTAAAACATAGCTTCAACATAATCAATGATGAAAAGTTGCATTAATTTTGTATCAGTTTAACTCTTAGTTCATTCCTTAAGCTAATTCCTGTTGAAGAGTGCAGGAATTCTGTTTCAGGGAAAAGAAATCAAGGAATATTAAGACTGCTACTTCGGCTAAGGAAAGGCACTGGAAGGATCACACTAACCATACGACCTCTGAGAATTTCACAGCATTTTAACATTAGGCTACCAATGAGGATGCTTGCTGGACAGATATTTTCACTTAGTCAAAATAGTTATTCAGAAAAGCTTTAGTCAAGTCCTCCACTATTATCAATAATCACTGCAACAACCAGGATTAGAAATCTGTGTCAAGAAAACAGGTGGGATCTCTATCTTTTGCACAAACTGCTGAAAACTCTTCACCTTGAAGCCAAATGTGAGGTCAAACAACTGAAAAGCAGCTGAAACTTGTCAGAGACACTCAGAAAGACAGACAAGATGCAAAGGACATGGTTTAATTAGGCTGCAACTTTATTAACTTTCTAATCTGTCAACTACTGGCAATAAATTGCACTATGCCTGTTGTGCTTTTCCTTTAATCATTTCCATGTGGTGCAGATCTGCAATCAGCCCTCCACCTCACCACAGCTGATCCCCAGACCTATTAGAGAGTTCTCACTGCTTGCCTTCTTTGCATGAGGATTAAAGCTAAGTATCTGGAGCTAGCCAGCCACTAGCCACTACAGCAGGTTCCACCCTTCAGACTTGTGGAAAACCATCAGATACCACAGCCCACCAGCCACCCCATGACCTTACTGGACTGACTTGGAACTATCAGTTCAGTTTCAAGATAAAGAGCCATTTTCCAAATGTCCCATTAACCTTATTTTCTCTCAACCTCCCTTCTCCCAAAAGGGCAGCACAAGCCTGAAATCCCTGCCACACATCCCCCACACTCATTCCCTCATCAGGAATCTCCAGTCCCTTTCTTATCTAGTCCTAGCCAAGAGTGAAGTGCCACAGGTAAAGGGCCTTCCTGTTTGAGCTAGGCTGGCACTTCTGCCCAGTGTGAAACCATACACTTAAAGAGATTTAAAGCAGCACACCAACATTTATTTTAATGAATAACTACACCTTGCCATAAAGACTGTTACCTTACATTAATTTTAAGATTACTCAAAGCTAAATTATGCAATGCGTGTCAAGAACACCTTAGATTCCTCCTCTTGTTCCTTCATGCTTATTTTTTGTACAAGCACTCAAGTCTTCTTTCCTCTGC